AACAAGATAGTCCTTATCCCCTTACATGCATTTTTTTTTTTTTTTTTTTTTTTTTGAGACGGGGTCTCGCTCTGATTCTCAGGCTGGAGTTCAGTGGCCCGATCTCAGCTCACTGCAACCTCCGCCTCCAAGGTTCAAGTGATTCTCCTGCCTCAGCCTCCCGAGTAGCTGGGATTACAGGCGCCCGCCATCACGCCGGCTAATTTTTGTATTTTTAGTAGACACGGGGTTTCACCATGTTGGCCAGGCTAGTCTGGAACCCCTGACCTCGTGATCCACCTGCCTCGGTCTCCCAAAGTGTTGGGATTACAGGCGTGAGCCGCCGCATCCAGCCCTCTCCTTGCATTTCACCGATGGAAAACACAGAAGAGGAATCCGCCATTACGGAAAAAAAAGGGCGGGGGGGCTGGGCGCGGTGTCTCTTGCCTGTAATCCCAGCACTTTAAGAGGCCAAGGCGGACGGATCACTATGTCAGGAGATGGAGACCATCCGGGCTAACGCGGTGAAACCCCGTCTCTACTAAAAATACAAAAAATTGGCCAGGCGAAGTGGTGGGCACTTGTAGTCCCAGCTACTCTGGAAGCTGAGGCAGGGGAATGGCGTGAACCGAACCCGGGAGGCGGAACTTGCAGTGAGCCGAGATGGCGCCACTGCACTCCAGCCTGGACATCAGAGGCAGACCCCGTCTCAAAAAAAAAAAAGAAAGAAAGAAAGAAAAGAAAGGGGCCAGTAATGGTGGCTCATGCCTGTAATCTCATCACTTTGGAAGGCCGAGGCGGGCGGATCACCTGAGGGTCAGGAGTTTGAGATCAGCCTGACCAACATGGCAAAACTCATCTCTACTAAAAATACAAGACGCTTGAACCCGGAGGGGCGGAGGTTGCACCACTGCACTCCAGCCTGAGGAACAGAGCAAGGCTCTGTCTCCAAAAAAAAAAAAAAAAAAAAAAAAAAAAGGTAGAGGCTGGCTGTTTGGTTTTGCGTGAGACCACTCTTTCATCTCCATTAACCTTCTAATCAAATCTCTTTGTTTAGTTAAAAAGTTTGCAAGTTTAGAACACAGACCAAGACATTTTACAGAGCAGCACCTGAACAAACAAAAACACATTAGGTCCAAGTGATTTTTTTTTTTTTTTTTTTTTGAGACGGAGTTTCGCTTTTTTTTTTTTTTTTTTTTTTTGAGACGGAGTCTCGCTCTGCCGCCCAGGCTGGAGTGCAGTGGCCGGATCTCAGCTCACTGCAAGCTCCGCCTCCCGGGTTTACGCCATACTCCGGCCTCAGCCTCCCGAGTAGCTGGGACTACAGGCACCCGCCACCACGCCCGGCTAGTTTTTTGTATTTTTAGTAGAGACGGGGTTTCACTGTGTTAGCCAGGATGGTCTCGATCTCCTGACCTCGTGATCCGCCCGTCTCGGCCTCCCAAAGTGCTGGGATTACAGGCTTGAGCCACCGCGCCCGGCCGGAGTTTCGCTCTTGTTGCCCAGACTGCAATGGCCCAATCTGTGCTCACCACAACCTCAGCCTCCCAGGTTCAAGCGATTCTCCTGCCTCAGCCTCCCTCGTAGCTGGGATTACAGGTATGAGCCACCACGCCTGGCTAATTTTGTATTTTTAGTAGAGATGGGGTTTCATCATGTTGGTCAGGGTGGTCTTAATCTTCTGACCTCGTGATCCACCCACCTTGGCCCGCCTCTTTATTTTTTCACTTTTCTCCCTTTTTGAGTCAAGGACTCACTTTGTTGCCCAGGCTGGAGTGCACAACCTTGTCTTTCTGGGCTCAAGGAAGGACAAGGTTTATTAGCAGCATGAGAACTGAGTAATACAACCAGGGTAGAAGACTAGAGGGTTCTCCCTGGATCTCCTGGACATCAGTTTGTGACTTTGGACAAGTAATCCCCACCGACTGTAAAGTGTGAATACTGATGCTGACGTCACCAGAAATTAAAGCCTATGAACTCCCTCTTTGAGAAAGGAAGCTAGGTGGCAGGGCACGGTGGCTCATGCCTATAATCCCAACACTTTGGGAGGCTGAGGTGGGAGGATCCCTTGAGGCCAGGAATTCAAGACCAGCCTGGCCAAAATGGTGAAACCCCGTCTCTACTAAAAATACAAAAATTAGCCGGGTGTGGCAGCTCACACCTGTAATCCCAGCACTTGGGGAGGCCGAGGCAGCCAAAATGGTGAAACTCTGTCTCTACTAAAAATACAAAAATTAGCTGGGCATGGTGGCGCCCACCTGTAGTCTCAGCTACTCAGGAGACTGAGTTGGGAGGATCATTTGAACCCAGGAGATGGACGTTGCACTGAGCTGAGATCACGCCACTGTACTCCAGCCTGGGCGACAGAGCGAAACTCTGTCTTGAAAAAAATTTCAAAATTAAATAAAATATAAAAACAGACAGCAGGACAGGCATAGTGGCTCACGCCTATAATCCCAACACTTTGGGAGGCCGAGATGGAAGGACTCCTTGAGCCCAGGAGTTCGAGAAGAGCCTGGGCAACATCGTGATACTTCAGTCTGTACAAAAATTTGAAAGTGAAAAATAATAGCCAGACCAGGCGCAGTGCTCATACATGTAATCCCAGCACTTTTGGAGGCTGAGGCAGGTGGATCACTTGAGTTCAGGAGTTTGAGACCAACCTGGCCAACATGATGAAACCCCCTCTACTAAATATACAAAAATTACCCAGGCATGGTAGCACACACCTGTAATCCCAGCTGCTTGGGAGGCTGAGGCACGAGAATGGCTTGAACCTGGGGTCGGAGGTTGCAGTGAACTGAGATCACGCCACTGCACTCCAGCCTGGGCAACAGAGTGAGACTCTTTCTCAAAATAAATAAATAAATAAATACCTGGGCATAGTGGTGTGCCACTCCCTGCAGTCCCAGCTACTTGGGAGGCTAAGGAGGGAGGATCACTTGAGCCTAGGAGGTCGATGCCCCAGTGAGCCATGACTGTGCCACTGCACTCCAGGCTGGGGAGCAGAGCAAGACCCTGTCTCTTAAATAAATAAAACAGTTAAAAAAGGAAAACAGGAAAACGCCAAGTGCAGAGAAGCCTAGTGGTACTTGGTGGGGGAAACAAAAGTTGTTCCAGGTATAATAGTTCCTGAAGTCAACACTCTATCATGGCAAGACACCAGGCACTCAAATTCCAGGTCATGAACTTACCTTTTCCTTGTTTTGAGGATTACATTGTGTTGGGCGACAGCAGTAAGGTATACATTCTGGAGTAACTTCCAATGAAAAAGGTGAAAGCATACGCGGAACTTTGCAGCTCTGAAAAAGTTCAGCCAGTCGTTCTTGAAAAGTCCTCTTTTTAAACAAAGGGGGTTTCAGTCACCTCACATTTGCATAGCAGTTTCTCTCTTGTCAAAGCCTTTCACATTCACTTATTTTAATTCTTACAGCACTCACTGAAGAGTGTGGAGTTGGGGGTCGGGGGTGGGGCGCAGAGCAGTGTTAACATCTTTCTGTAAGAGAAACAGAGACTTTTGAGAGGCCAGGCATGGTGGCTCATGCCTGTAATCCCAGGACTTTGGGAGGAAGATCGTTTGGGTCCAGGAGTTCAAGACCAGCCTGGGCAAAATGGGGGAAACCTGTCTCTACAAAAAAAAAAAAAAAAAAAAAAAAAAGTTAGCTGGGTGTGGTGGTGTGCCCTGGTAGTCCTGGCTACTCAGGGCACTTGAGGCAGGAGGATTGCTTGAGCCCAGGGGGCAAGAGGATGCAGTGAACTGTGATCGCGACACTGCACTCCAGCCTGGGTGACAGCAAGACTCTGTCTTGGAAAACACACAAACAAGAAACTTTAAAAATTAGTTGGGTGTGGTGGCACACGGATGTAGTCCTAGCTATTCAAGAGCCTGTGGCGGGAGGATCCCTTGAGGCCAGGAGTTCAAGACCAGCCTGGGCAATGTTGTGAGACACGCCACCTGCCCCCATCTTTACAGAGAATAAAAAAGTTATCTGGGCACAATGATGCACACCTATAGTCCCATCAATTCGGGAGGCTGAGATGTGAGGATCGCTTGAGACATGGCAGTTGGAGGTTGCGGTAAGCCGAGATCGGGTTAGTGCACTGCAGCCTGGGTGACAGAGTGAGACCCTGCTTCAAAAAAATAAATATATAGAGGCCGGGCGCGGTGGCTCACGCCTGTAATCCCAGCACTTTGGGAGGGCGAGGCAGGCAGATCACTTGAGGTCAGGAGTTCTAGACCAGCCTGGCCAACATGGCGAACCCCTTCACTACTAAAAATACAAAAATTTAGCCGAACTTGGTGGTGTGTGCCTGTAATCCTAGCTACTCGGGAGGCCGAGGCACGAGAATCACTTGAACCCGGGAGGTGGAGGTTGCAGTGAGCTGAGATCGCGCCACTGCACTCCAACCTGGGCGACAGAGCCACACGCTGTCTCAATAATTAAATAAATAATAAGAAAAAAAAATAAAAGAGGCTCTTGAGAGTCAACTCATCTGCCTGAGCCACTTATTTCACACATCCCAGGACGCCTGATGAAGGGTTCTGGATTTTATTGTCTCCTGTCATCCAGGCGGGCTTCCTGGAGGAAACTGGACCGCCAGGGAGGCCGCGGCCTCGGTTCCAAGGGTCGCGCGTCGCAGGGTCGGAGGAGGTGGGGGAGAAGGGGCCGCTCCGGGGCCGACCCCGCCCGCAGTTAGGGGCCCACGTCACGTGACCAGCCGGGCGCCCGGGTCACGTGCCGGGGCGGGAAGGTGGGGGCCGTCGGGGGCGACTGGCGTCCGGACAGCGGCGCGCGGGGCACGCGAGGAGCGCACGAGGAGAGGCGGCGCAGGCCGGAGCCGCGGAGGGAGGCGGCGGCGGCGGCGGCGGCGGAGGAGGGGGCGGCCCCGCGGCCCCGCGTCCGCGTCACGTGGTGCGAGGCGGGCAGCCATCTTGCTACAAACACAAACACAGAGGAGCGGCCGCCGCGGGAGCGCCAGCGTCCCCTCCCCCGTCGCCGCCGCCGTCCCCGGCCCCAGCCCGCCGCGCGCCGCCCACGCCCCGGACCGGACCCTTGCGCCGCCCGCGGTAAGCGCCCGGCGTTCCCGCGGCCCCCAGCTCACAGCCCGGCCCCGGGGCAGGCCCGCCCCCGACGCCGCGGCGGCCGCGCCGAGCCCGCGAGCTAGCGAAGCGCTGGAGCCAGCGCGCGGGCCGCCGACGAGGACCCTCCCCCGTCTCCTCCCCGAGGCCGCCGCCGCCGCCGCCCGGTGCGTCCGCCCGCCCTCCCGCCCGCTCCGGCCCCTCCCCGCCGCCGGGACCCTCCCCCAGAGCCGGCCAGCCTCGGGGAGGCCCCAGGAGGCCGGCGCCCGGCTTGGGGGGCGACCGCTCGACCCCCGCGCACCTGGCGCCCCTCCCTGAAGGGCACGCCGTCCTCCCGGGCCGGCCCGCCGCCTTCCACCCCCGCGCTCCTAACGGTCGCCCCCGGGCCTCTGCCAAGCCCTGCTGTGGGCCGCCTGGGGGCCCCCGACCCTAGCGTCCTAAGGTGTCCGGGCCCCGCGCTCCCCGGAGTTCTCCCCAGCGCGCCTTTGGGTTCCCCTCGGAAGGAGCTGGGCCTTGCAGTTCCCCAAGTCCAAGCTTTCCACGACTTTGGCCAACATGGAAGCCTTCTCCTCCACCCAGGCACCTCGCCTGAGTCCTCCTCACCTCCGTTTCCTTTCGCTCCGGCGATCTTAGTGCTGGGTCATTGGGGTCTCCTTCCCAGTTGCACAACCGCGGGAAACACCTTCCATAGTAGAGACTGCTTTCCCTCCCCGTCCCAGGCCAGGCCCTTCCCAGCTCATGACCCTCGGTGCAGCAGCTCCCTGGCCACAGCTCTCACACCTTGCCTTAAAAAAAAAAAATTTCCAAGTAACTTTTTAAGAGCCCCTTGTTTGTCTCCTCTGTTACACAGTCATTACTCGCTTTCCCGGTGAGACTCTAGGTCTGTTGTATCCTAGTGCCAGGAACTGGGAGATGCTACATAAAGACTTGTTAGTTGGATTGAATTTTTTTTTTTTTCCAATCACCCAAGCCTTACTTCCCTCTTGCCTTTCAAAGTGTTGTTCTGGAAGATCGTCAGCTTTCCCATCCTCTTTGCACTGCCCCTTCGAGTCCATATAGCAGTTTCGATTTAGAACCCCGCCAACCCCTGGCCTTTGGCATGGAAACACCATCGGTGGTACCAGTAAGGGTCTCTTCTTTGCTGTCGACATGGGGGATTTGGGGTTCTTTCTCCTTCCCATCTTTCCTGTGCCCTTTGCAGACTTAGGCTAGCCACCCTCCACCAGGCTAGCCAGCTCTAATCTGATTTTCTTAGATTGTAGGTCTTGGTACCCCAGCGGTCTTTCGTGTCATTGGGAAGGATTTGGGGGTAGACCTGGACTTGGTGTCCCTGCCATTGCCTGGGAACCAGGGGCCCTGAGGGTCCCATGGGGTGGTTAGTCAAGTGGACCATGTGCTTAAACTTATGAACTAGCTTGTTCTCCTGTTGGACACATCAGTCTTGTGTCCGTGATCTGATGCGTTAGCCCTAACTTTTACATGTGCTATTAGAATTTGGGAATTAAAAAAGAAAAATAGCCCACTATAGAGGAGAGAAGATGAGAGGAGGCGGCTAGATGAAGGAGGTTGAAAGTCTAACAAATGTGAAATGGCTTCAAACTCACAGAGTAACGCTTGAGAGTTTGGGATGGTCATTACTGCCACCGTGCACACCTCCAGTATTGCATAGAGTGTCGAGGATGTCGGGGCACACTGTCGGAGCAGCTTCCTCCTTGTTTTCCCTGGCTGGAGCCCATGGCTGGGCAAGTGGGCAAAAGGGATCACAGGAGGTAAAGAGTGAAAATGCTTAAAAACTGTTAACTTGTAGGCAGTTGCCAAGCGGTGGTGTGATTTGTTGGGATGGCTCAGAGAGGAGAGAGCAGGGATAACTGACCAGCCGCCAGGAATGCGGGCTTGCATCTCTTCTTTAAGCCTCAGCGTCTTCATCCTACCACGCTTGGAGAATCTCCATCCTGAGAAAGGCCCAGGTCCCCTCCAGCAGGCCTGGGGCTGGGCGGTCGCTCCAGTGTTGGGGAACTGGGGACTCTGCTTCTGTTTAAGTGGCACTGTTCTGTGCCAAGGCACAGTGCTCCGTGTTGGAGCTAATTTTAGGGGTGATGGAGTGAGGAGATAATGTTCTTAGCTGAATGTGCACTGGAACCGCCTGTTCTCCGTCTTTTCCTTCTCCCTTGAGTTCTGAGCCCCAGAGAGCGGGCTCCCTTCCCGCGCCCTGGTGCCTGCTGGAGCACCCAGGCCCAGCATGTCCTCGCCCCTTGTTTCCGGCAGGGGGCAGTCTTTCAAAAGCATTGATTCAGATGCTGGGGGACTGAGGGTAGACAGGCCTGAGAAAGAGAAGGGGTGGGGAGGGGGCGAGGCTTGAGGGAAGGGCCAGGGCGGGGGACAGGCTGGAAGGGGCCTGTGAGGAGGAGACCCTGAGCTGAGAAAGCTCAGCCGGAAAAGCTGAGGCGGGCAGGTGGCGGTCCCCCATCCCCCCCGCCACCTCCTGCTCTTGTCTTCATTGGACAGGAATCAGATGCCTGGCTTTGAGAGCTTGCAATAGACAAACTTAGGCAGTTTTTCTTAAAAAAAAAAAAAAAAAAATCTGTTCTTTTCTCAAAGATTTCCTCCTGGCAGGATTTCAGATTTCCCTCGTGGGACAGTGTAATTAGGAAATGATATCCCTGCTGTTCAGAGAGGAGAGTGACCCAGCTTTGCACACACCTGGCTTCCCTTGCCTTCCCCTTGGCCCAGTAGACCCCCGAGGGCTCTGCCCGTGCTCGTGGCGCAGAGGAGGGCATCTCAGCACTGGCGTGCTTGGAATCTGGAGTCACATAGTTCTTGGCTGTGGGGATGCCCTGTGCACCCCCTGCCCAGTGGTGACAGCCCAGAATATCTCCAGACTTGGCCAGGAGCCCCCTGAGGAGCAGAGGGGCCCTGAGTCCAGAACCTGTTGGAGGGTGGGAGCCCCATGGTAGCCTGCAGCTGCGCCACTAGTTCTTTTAGTCCAAGGATGGGGCCAGGCACTACCAGCTTCCAGCACCAGACCCTGCTGTGGGGGCACCTAGAGAGTTAACCTCAGTCTCCTGGTTTCTTCCCAAGAAGGCAGGTGGCATGGGCTTTTTCCTGCTCTGGGCCTGCTCTCTCCCTTGTCTTGGTGTCGCTGTCCTCAGGCTGCATGAGCCACTCCCCCTTTTGTGTGCCCCTTGCAGCTAAGACACAGTCAGGATGGGGGACTCCAGCCGGAGGAACCCAGGAGAGCTGCCCTTGCTGCGCCTGGCAGGGGGCAGTGTGAGGCCATCACTTTAAGATTTTTTTTGTTTTGTTTTTTGAGACAGTCTTGCTCTGTTGCCCAGGCTGGAGTGTAGGGGCGCGATCTCGGCTCACTGCAACCTCCGCCTCCTGGGTTCAAGCGATTCTCCTGCCTCAGCCGCCCAAGTAGCTGGGATTACAGGCACCTACCACCAGGCCTGGCTAATTTTTGTATTTTTAGTAGAGAGTTTTGCGACGTTGGCCAGGCTGGTCTCAAACTCCTGACCTCAGGTGATCTTCCTGCCTCGGTCTCCCAAAGTGCTGGGTTTACAGGCATGAGCCACCACGCCTGGCCGCTTTTTCTTTTTAAAAAAATGTTTAGAATTGTTTCTGTAGAGTCATGGTCTTGTTCTGTTACTCAGGCTGGTCTCGGACTTCTCTCTTCAAGCCTCCCACAGTGCTGGGATTATAGGTATAAGCCATTGTGCTGGCCAGGTGGTGCCTTTTCTGTTCTACCCTCTCCCACCCTCATGCCTGCAGGATGAGCTTCTGGCCTTCTAGAAGGAATGAACTGGAGGAGGCTCAAAACAGCCTCTCCTGAGGCTGATTTGAAGGAATGTGGGGTGTTTTTCTTGGAGTGGGGAAAACTTAGGTATGCGGTGGTTATCTCCAGATACCTTTTGTTCCCTAAAGCTTTTTTTAAAAAGTGATTATTGTGGTAAAATATACAACAAAATTTGGATACTTTAACTGTCTCTAACTGTGCTATTCTGTGGCACTGAGTACACTCACATTGGTGTCTGGCCCTGACTACCAGCGGCCCCAGGATCTGCTCCTCAGTTGAAGCTCTGGGCCCTTCAGCAACAGTTCCCTGTCCCCTCAGCCCCTGGTGACTGCCCTTCTACCTTCCTCCCTCAGTGAGTGACTCCTCTAGAGACCTCATGAAAGAGAAGTAAGGTCTAACTCTCCTTTTTTGGCTGGTCTGTTTCACTTAGCATCATGTCCTCAAGTCTCATCCAGTCCCCAGATTGCTCTAGGAGGCCACCTGCAGTCAGCGACAGGCTGGTGGCTTTGCGTGGCGTGGAGCACACCACCACCGGAGCATCCACCCGAGGCTGAGGAGGGAGAGGCCCCAGGGGAGGCCACCCTGGCCCTGGGTTGCCTCTGAGCCCTGTGGTTCCCCCTGGGGTGCTGGGACTCTGAGCAGGCCTCGGCATGTCATGGGCTGCTGGCTCAGCTGGGGCTGATGGCCTTTCCCCCTTAGCACCCTGGTGGAACCCCCTTCCTCTTCTTTCCCAGACTGTGGCGTCCTGGAGTTGATGGGAGCTGCAGCACCAAGCCGGGCCAGCCTCCCTCCCAGCCAGTGACAACAGCTCTGCAGCGCCTGGACCCCGCCCACCCGCCTGAGTCCTCTGCCCGGGTCCCCAGGGATGCGCCTCCTCCTGAGAGTCCCCTCCATCGTCCCTTAGAGGAACAGGCTGCCGCTGCACCCCCACCAGCCTCCATTGCCCTGACCTTATTTCCACCTGATGGTGCCAGAGGCTGCTTCCCAGCCGGTATCCTGAGATCCTCGTTCCCTTGGTGGCTTGGTTGTTTCAGCCTCCGTTCTTGATTGGGGGGCGGTGGTCTGGGTGTGATTCCTGTGGGGGAAACCAGCCCGAGGTGCCTTGGCTCAGGCTTGCCTGGAGCCTCGTCATGTACCCGTCTGTGGCCCTAGAATCACCTCCTGCTCCTTTTCACTGGGTTTCTCCCCAGACCAAGCCCCTGGATTTGAGCTTCTGAGCAGCCAACTGTGATTTTTTTCATAAAGGAAAGAATTTTGCTCCTAGATTTATTTCTAATCCTTCTCTCCGTAACTGACCTTTTCTCCGTAAGCTATTTGTGGCTCTAGTGAGTTTTTGCTTGCTTGCTTGTTTTTGTTTTATCTTTGCCCTGAACATCCATCCTGGCCTCGGCTGCCTCCCTCCCTGAGTTCTGCGCTGCACCTCCTGTCTCAGCCTCCCAGAGAGGGTGGTGAGGGTGCTGATGCCCAGAGATACCACCCGGCGAATGGACCTCTCCCGTCATGCAGGGCAGGGCAGGGCTGCCAGCAGAGCCTTGTCCTGAACCCTATCTCCTCCCCCCTGCTCTCCTTAAGGGTCTTTCCCAGATGTGAAGGTCGCTCCCAGGCTCTACTGAGGCCAGACCTATTCCCAGTGGCTTGGGGACCCTCGTTCACTCCAGCACCAGCCCCTGCCCTCCTGCTTCCTGGGCCAGGCTGCCAGGTGAGCCCTGGGCCGAGGGAGGTTGCCCCACGGAGGCCGGAAGGACTCGAGCTTCCCATCTCCTCGCCTCCCCCAGGTCTTTCACCGTCTGGACTCATCTCTGGGTAACTCATGGTGTGAGTGGCCACGTGGCTGGCTCAGGTGAGTCCTTTTAGACCCCAGGTGACCCACCAGCTAGTCCGGGGCGCATTGCCATGCCTACCAGGATGTACCCCGGGGTGTCCTCCCTGCACTTGAAAGGTGTCCTTCATGTGCTGTTCTCCATGGCCCCGTTCCCCCACAGGTGTTTGGAGAGTGAACGCCAGGTCCCCTCCTCCCCACCCCCGGCCTCTCAGAAACACGCCCAGCCCCACGATGGCAGCAGAGACACTCAACTTTGGGCCTGAGTGGTGAGTCACATGTGCCTCGGCTGCCGTGGAGATTCGGGAAAGCACAGTCAGGCTGCCCTGACCTGTCGTCTTCTCTCTGTGTCGTGTCCAGGCTCAGGGCCCTGTCTGGGGGCGGCAGCGTGGCCTCCCCACCTCCATCCCCTGCCATGCCCAAATACAAGCTGGCTGATTACCGCTATGGGCGAGAGGAGATGCTGGCCCTCTACGTCAAGGAGAACAAGGTGGGTGCGTGGACGAGGGTTGTTGGCGGCGGTGGTCTCTGCCCATGGAGGGGATCTGGCAGCATGTGGTGTCTTGGCTGTCCCACCCCACCGCCAGGTCCCAGAAGAGCTGCAGGACAAGGAGTTTGCCGCGGTGCTGCAGGACGAGCCACTGCAGCCCCTGGCCCTGGAGCCGCTGACTGAGGAGGAACAGGTGGGGCCAGGCCAGGAGCTGAGGCTGCGGGGGCCCGGGAGGGGTGGCTGTGAGTCGGGCTAGGAGGAGAGGGGCCAGTGCTGGGGAGATAGGCCGGGAGGGTGCTGTGGGGTGGGAGTGGGGGTGGTCAGGTACCTGGGTCCTCACTCCCGCCCCTGGCTCCCTCCTCAGAGAAACTTCTCCCTGTCAGTGAACAGCGTGGCTGTGCTGAGGCTGATGGGGAAAGGGGCTGGCCCCCCCCTGACTGGCACCTCCCGAGGCAGGGGCAGCACGCGGAGCCGAGGTAGAGGGGTGATGGCGTGTCCCGGGGGCAGGCAGATCAGGGCCCCTGACTTTGAGGACGTGCAGCAGGTTTCAGTGTGCATCTGGCCTCTTATCTAGGCCGTGGCCGCGGTGACAGCTGCTTTTACCAAAGAAGCATCGAAGAAGGTGATGGGGCCTTTGGACGAAGCCCCCGGGAGATCCAGCGCAGCCAGAGCTGGGATGACAGGTGGGGCCAGGAGGGGGTGTGGCATAGAGCAGGGCAGGCCAGGGAGGGAGGCCTGGTTCCTGTTGCTAGAGGGTAACAGAGGCCTACCAGATAAGCCCTGTCAGAGATCCCTGTTCTCCTGACCCCTGGTTTCCTCTGTCCCCTCCCTCCCTCCACTGCCTCAGGGCACAGTGGACAAGGCATGGGGCGGTCGCAAAGGGTGGGTGGGGAGGCTATACTGTTTTTGACCCACACGTTTCCCCTCCTGCAGAGGCGACAGGCGGTTTGAGAAGTCAGCAAGGCGGGATGGAGGTACGAGGTTGCTGAGGGCGGCGGCCGGGGCAGCGGGGAGGATCAAGATGGGTGGCCCAGTCTGAGGGTGTTTATTTCAGAGGTGCTGGGGGCAGGAGGGCCTGGAGCTGGCTCCCCACGTTTCCTGAGGGTCCAGGTACCACGCTGCCTTTCTGATAACTGCCCCTCTCTTCCATCTCCCAGCACGATGTGGGTTTGAGGAGGGAGGGGCTGGCCCAAGGAAGGAGCATGCCCGCTCAGACAGCGAGAACTGGCGCTCCTTACGGGAGGAGCAGGAGGAGGAGGAGGAGGGCAGCTGGAGGCTTGGGGCAGGGCCCCGGCGAGATGGCGACCGCTGGCGCTCCGCCAGCCCTGGTGAGATTGGGGCCCAGTAGCATTGGTGAGGGCAGTGGGGAGCAGGAACTGTCATGAGAGGGTGGGCTCCTTTAGCCCCTGGGAGGTAGCAGAGGCTGGCTGGTGTGGGAGTGGCTGGGACAGCAGCCCTGGAGGTGCTCCATGAGCTGCAGCAGAGAGGGCTGCCAGCTTTGCTTGGGTACCCACTCTTCTTCTCCCTGACTTTTCCTGCGCAGATGGCGGTCCCCGCTCTGCTGGCTGGCGGGAACATGGGGAACGGAGGCGCAAGTTTGAATTTGATTTGCGAGGGGATCGAGGCGGGTGTGGTGAAGAGGAGGGGCGGGGAGGGGGAGGCAGCTCTCACCTGCGGCGGTGCCGAGTGCCTGACGGCTTTGAGGAGGACAAGGATGGGCTCCCAGAGTGGTGCCTGGACGATGAGGATGAAGAAATGGGCACCTTTGATGCCTCTGGGGCCTTCTTGCCTCTCAAGGTATCTGCGAGGAGGTGAGGGTGGGAACCTGCCCTGCTGGGGTCCTCTTCCTCCTCACCCACCCAGCTGTTCTCTGCCCCCGACCCCTGCCCCATGCAGAAGGGCCCCAAGGAGCCCATTCCTGAGGAGCAGGAGCTGGACTTCCAAGGGCTGGAGGAGGAGGAGGAGCCTTCCGAAGGGCTAGAGGAGGAAGGGCCTGAGGCGGGTGAGCCTGTGAGGTGCCCAGCGGGCCTGGGGCCGGGCCAGACTGGCATGGGGGTTCTTTGCCAGGCTGGGCACTTGCTGCCCACCTACGTGTAGGATCAGGCTACTTAGAAGTGGAAGAAGAGTGTTGAGAGGTGGGGAGGAACCAGGGGTTAGCAGAGCCATGTCTTCAAGGCAGTGTACCAGATAGAAATCAGGCATAATCAGAATGACCTTTGAAAGTCCCTTGAAGAAACTGCAGAACCTGGGGTGAAGTCTGCGGGGTTGTATGGTGTTGTGCAGTGTTGATATGTTCCTGCTGCGTCTGGCACATGGAGGCAAGGGTCAGGGCACCGCATTCCCGCTCCACCATTAGTTGAGTTGACCCAAGTGAAGTGGTGGACTTGGCCCGGGGGAGGGTGACCCGTGGGTCCAGCCACACACTCAAGGGCTTGTGCTCACTCGCATGGCAGGCCCAGCCCTTGGTTCTGAATTCTGGCCGTCTTCCTCTTCTAGGTGGGAAGGAGCTGACCCCACTGCCTCCTCAGGAGGAGAAGTCCAGCTCCCCGTCCCCACTACCCACCCTGGGCCCACTCTGGGGGACAAACGGGGATGGGGAAGAAGCTGCGGAGAAGGAGCCCCCAGTGGCCGAAGGTAGGAAGGGAGGATGACCTACCTCCCGGGTGCCCTGGGGCTGTGAGAGAAAGTGGTCCCCTCTTGTGGGGGTGGGCACACAGGGCATTCACATTGAGGAGCCATGGCAAGAGCTCAGTGTTCTGGAGTGAGGGTGGGCGGAGGCTATCTTGTCTCCTTGCCGCCCTCCCTTCCACCTCCTGTCCTCATGCCTTCCAGATGATATTCGGGGGATCCAGCTGAGTCCTGGGGTGGGCTCCCCTGCTGGCCCACCTGGAGATCTGGAGGATGATGAAGGCTTAAAGCACCTGCAGCAGGTGTGGGGGCCTGAGAAAGTGGGAGGGACCCTTCACACTTCTCCTGACCACCTGACCTGCTTGGCCCTGGCCCCGGCCCCAGCTCAAGCTCCATCCCCATCCCAAGCTCCATCCCCATCCCAAGCTCCATCCCCATCCTGATGGTGCTGAGATTGGCAGCTGAGACTTTCTTCTCTTCCTGGGCTTCCAGGAGGCGGAGAAGCTGGTGGCTTCCCTGCAGGACAGCTCCTTGGAGGAGGAGCAGTTCACAGCTGCCATGCAGACCCAGGGCCTACGCCATTCTGCAGCCGCCACTGCCCTCCCGCTCAGCCATGGAGCTGCCCGGAAGTGGTTCTACAAGGATCCGCAGGGCGAGATCCAAGGTACTTGTGTGGGATGGGAGGGCTGCTCAGGGCCATTCTGGTTCAGGGTGTCTCTGGCCTACCCTGTGACCACAGTGGTTCTCCTGCTCCCTTGCTCCCTGTCCAGGCCCCTTCACGACACAGGAGATGGCAGAGTGGTTCCAGGCTGGCTACTTCTCCATGTCACTGCTGGTGAAGCGGGGCTGTGATGAGGGCTTCCAGCCTCTAGGCGAGGTGATCAAGATGTGGGGCCGTGTGCCCTTCGCCCCAGGGCCCTCACCACCCCCACTGCTGGTGAGCCGCCTCTCCCCTGCATGGAGGGACAGGGTGTAAGGGGTGTGGGCAGGAGTCCAGCAGAGTCCCCTCTTCGCTGCTGCGGGCACTGGCCGAACTCTCACCCGAGCAGGGAAACATGGACCAGGAGCGGCTGAAGAAGCAGCAGGAGCTGGCCGCGGCTGCCTTGTACCAGCAGCTGCAGCACCAGCAGTTTCTTCAGCTGGTCAGCAGGTATGGGGGGCCTGGGGTGGGTTGGGAGAAGGCCTGGAGCTGGCTCTGTGGCCCACCACCTCCACTGTCCCATTTGCAGCCGCCAGCTCCCACAATGCGCGCTTCGAGAAAAGGCAGCTCTGGGGGACCTGACGCCGCCGCCGCAGCAGCAGCAGCAGCAGCAGCAGCAGCTCACGGCATTCCTGCAGCAGCTCCAGGCGCTCAAACCCCCCAGGTGCGTGGCGCATGCTAGCCCTCAGGATACAGGGTAGGGAACGGGGGCAGACCAGAGATGGATTTGGGGTCCTGAGAATCCACGATTTGCTCCTCAGAGGCGGGGACCAGAACCTGCTCCCGACGATGAGCCGGTCCTTGTCGGTGCCGGATTCGGGCCGCCTCTGGGATGTACATACCTCAGCCTCATCACAGTCAGGTGTGTGGCCTGCCTGGCCCCCACCCCCAAGGCAGTCTCCGGGTGAACTGGGGTCTGGGGTCTGCTCCCCACCCTTGCACCCCTCGTTGCCATTCTGGCTGGGGAGCCCACTGCTGCGGCTGGACTGGATCAGTGGGCCCAAGTGCCCACCTGCAGCTGCCTCTGCCCCCTGCCCCCTGCAGGTGGTGAGGCCAGTCTTTGGGACATACCAATTAACTCTTCGACTCAGGGTCCAATTCTAGAACAACTCCAGCTGCAACATAAAGTGAGTAGGCATCCTGGGGCTGAGGCCCTGGGAATGAAGGGGGGGACCAAGGCAGGCCCCAAGCTGTCCCCTGCAGCTCTCCCCTGATCAGCCACTGGTCTCAGTTCCAGGAGCGCAGAGAAGTGGAGCTCAGGGCGAAGCGGGAGGAAGAGGAACGCAAGCGCCGGGAGGAGAAGCGCCGCCAGCAGCAGCAGGAGGAGCAGAAGCGGCGGCAAGAAGAGGAAGAGCTGTTTCGGCGCAAGCAGGTGGGTGCTCCCGAGCCTCAGCTGGCTGGGGAGAGAGCCCTCGTCAGGTCCCCTCACTGTGTCCCCCTCTTAGGTACGGCAGCAGGAGCTGTTGCTGAAGTTGCTACAGCAGCAGCAGCAGGCAGTCCCCGTGCCCCCCGCGCCCAGCTCCCCGCCCCCACTCTGGGCTGGCCTGGCCAAGCAGGGGCTGTCCATGAAGACACTCCTGGAGTTGCAGCTGGAGGGCGAGCGGCAGCTGCACAAACAGCCCCCACCTCGGGAGCCAGCTCGGGCCCAGGCCCCCAACCACCGAGTGGTGAGCAGGCCAGGAACCTCCCAGGACCCCCCCATGCGGTTACCAGGGTGGCATAGGGAGGGGGATCACTAAGCCCAGACTTGTGCAGCCCAAACCCCAGCCCCTCCTGTGATGGCAACAGCTCTTGTGGCCCTCGCCTCACCCCTCTCCCTTTGCCACCTAAACAAGCCTCCCTGTCTGCTTTTCTGGGGTGCCTTTCTTTGAGCCACTCTGATCTTCTGCCATCTGTAGCAGCTTGGGGGCCTGGGCACTGCCCCCCTGAACCAGTGGGTGTCTGAGGCTGGGCCGCTGTGGGGCGGGCCAGACAAGAGTGGGGGCGGAAGCAGCAGCCTGGGGCTCTGGGAGGACACCCCCAAGAGCGGCGGGAGCCTGGTCCGCGGCCTCGGCCTGAAGAACAGCCGGAGCAGCCCATCTCTCAGGTGGGCGTGGCAACTGGAGGCTTGGGGTGGCCCTGGGAGGGAAGGTGGCAGACTCTCCCGCCCCCCGCCAGCTGATTTCTGACCCTGACTCACCCACCCCCTTCAGTGACTCGTACAGCCACCTATCAGGTCGGCCCATTCGCAAAAAGACGGAGGAAGAAGAGAAGCTGCTGAAGCTGCTGCAGGGCATCCCCAGGCCCCAGGATGGCTTCACCCAGTGGTGTGAGCAGATGCTGCACACACTGAGCGCCACAGGCAGCCTGGACGGTGCGTGAGCGGCTCCCAGGAAGTGGGCGGGGCCTGGGGCTCCAGACCTGGCCAGGGGGCCCTGACAGCCCTCGCTCATCCTGCAGTGCCCATGGCTGTAGCGATCCTCAAGGAGGTGGAATCCCCCTATGATGTCCACGATTATATCCGTTCCTGCTTGGGGGACACGCTGGAAGCCAAAGAATTTGCCAAACAATTCCTGGAGCGGAGGGCCAAGCAGAAAGCCAGCCAACAACGGCAGCAGCAGCAGGTGAGGCACCCGGCACCAGTAGCTGGGGTGGGCTTGCCGGGCACTTCTTGACCTTCACCCTCCTCTCCGTTGCCTTAGGAGGCGTGGCTGAGCAGCGGCTCCCTGCAGACGGCCTTCCAGGCCAACCACAGCACCAAACTCGGCCCCGGGGAGGGCAGCAAGGCCAAGAGGCGGGCACTGATGCTGCACTCAGACCCCAGCATCCTGGGTGAGCTGGGCTGGGGCAGGAGCGGGACTTCCTTGGCACAGGGCAGGAGGAGCCCAGGAGAGAGCTCAGACCCAGCTTCTCCCCGGCTTCAGGGTACTCCCTGCACGGATCTTCTGGTGAGATCGAGAGCGTGGATGACTACTGACCAGCCCGGACCCCCAGCCCCTGGGCTGTAGGCCAGGGTGGCTGCGGCGGCATGGACCGAGGGTCCCAGCCTGCAGGCTCCCCGCAGGGAGCAGAGGAGGAGGCAGGGGCGGGGTCCCCAGCACTTGTTACAAACACACGATGCACCTTAACTCACCCACCACGAGGCACTTTACAGACTGGGGGAGGGGGTTTTCTTTTTATTTTTTTTTTTTAATTTTAAACGACTTTGAAGAAAAGTTAGGAGAGGCAAAAATATTGTTAAAAACTAGACTCTAAACACCCCTTCCCGCTGTGAGGATAGTGGGTGTGACGATGGAAGGTCCACAGAGGATTTTTTTTTTTGTTTTTTTAAGAAAAAAGATGAAAAATGAAAAAAAAATGGTTAGGAGGCTGAAAGAAAAAACACACTGTTATTTTGGGGCAGTGGGGACACAGGCCCCGTGGACCTGTCCTGCCTGGCCCCCAAGGCCACACTTACCCCCCCGGAAGGTGGGCCATGGGGTAACTGGAGGCTGAGGGCCAGCAGTTTGCACAGGAGGCCTGTCTGAGCCCCGCCCACTGGACCCGCTATGAGCAGCTCCTTTCGCCAGGGCTGGCTGAGGTGTCCGGGGTGGGGCCAAAGTAGCCCCTTGGCTTCGCTGCTTTGGGGGACAGTTGCACAAATTGGAAGAGCTGCCCCAGCTCTCTGGCTGCCATCCTGTGCTGGCCGAGTAGATGGGAGGGGCCAGGCTGTGCCAACCTCTCTGGCTGGCAGGGTGGGGCAGCAGGACTCTGACTCTGGCCTTGGTGAGGGGCGTCCTCCACCGCTGCCATTTTGGGGGACACCCTGGGTTTGAACCTGAAAGCCCCAGCTCTCTGCCTTGCCACGTGAATGTATTCTTTGGGCCGTAAGCCCCCACCTCACCCCTGCCTGGCTCCTGCCTCACCTCTGTGAGCGGCGGGGGTGGATGATTGCTCCGGAGGCTGCAGAGAGAAGGCTGAGCTGTTTCTCCCGTGAAGGGGGCAGGAGGAGGGGCCTCAAAGGCAAGGAGTGGGTGGCTTTGGGCTTAGGGTTGCAGTGGAGGGACTGCCACCTGGGGCCCCAGCCTGCAGCCAGCTTGTGAGGTATGGACCACCCAGCTCTGCACCTGACCCTTCTGCCGACCAAATGGGAGAGGAGCAGGAGGTCTCCCGGGTCTGATATGATGCGCTTTTTACCGTTGGGTAAGGTTGGGGTGAAGAGAAGCGTGCGGCTCCTGGGTCAGGGGAAGCTGCCCCTTCTATTGCTCACCCACTTCTTATTCCCAGTCCCCTACTTGGGTTCGTCTCCACCCATTTTGGGTTTTGTAAGTTTTGTCTTTTGGGTTTCTCATCCAGCTCCTCCCATTGACCTCATTGCTCAGAGTGCAGTATTAGGGCAAGGCTCCGCCACTGCCTCCCTCCATGAATGTATTTCTCCCTCCTGCCCTGGGGACGTGGGGAGTGGCCCCTTTCTTTCCCCATCTAGCCCCAGAAAGATGGTGTTTGGTTTTTTGTTGTTAGGGTTTTTTTGTTTTTTTTTTTTTTTTTTGCACCAAAGTGGCAACTAGGTCAGTGTTGGGGGATCAAGCTGGCCTCGGGGTGGGGGGCCCCCACCTGCTTCTCCCTGGTTCCCACAGTGTTAGCGTCCCTGAAAAGACAATATTCTCTCTAAAGCAATAAGGGGTGACGGGCCGGGGGGAGTGTTTGCTGCTGCTGGCCCCCAGCTCCCCTTCCCTCTCGCCAGGTGTGGGGGAGACTCCTGTTGTGACTGAATGTAACCCCCCCACCCCTGCCGCAGCCAATGCAGGGGAAGGGGGACACTTTTCCTGTCTCTTCCTGCCCCTTCTCCCCAGCTAAAGAGACTTTGGATTTAGGGGGCCCATGAGCCTGGAGAGGCCTTAACCCTGTGAGGAAGTATAGGGGGAGCCCTCTCCCACCCCCATCCCTTTCTGAGAGTGGTCAATGTTTACAAGCCCCTGAGCCCCCCTGCCCAGGGACTCAGACCCTGTTGCTGTCCTTCCCCCGGCCCCGGTCTTCCTGGGCCCTCGCTGCTCCCCTGCCCTTCCTGGGGTTGGGGTGGGTGCAGGGGTCGCCGTGTTCCCTGTCTGCCTTGTACCCACAATCTCCCGCCCCCTCTCCACCCTGTGTGACTTCCCTCTTTACCTGCTCCTGTAAATACTCCCTTCTCCCAATAAAACTTGGTGTGTGTTCTCCCGTTCCGCCTCCGCTGCTCGTTATCTGGGGAGAGCCATGGGGATGAGTGGCTCTGCGCAGAGTTGGGAACTAGGAGCTCCGAGCAGGGTCCGCCTGGTCAGGCTGGCTCTGGTCAGCAGCCTGATGGGGGAGACCACGGCGGGGGGCTGCTTATCCAACAACCTCTGGATGGAAGGCTTTGGGCTGGGGTTTCGGCTTTGCTCTGAGGGAGAGTGCAGACCCTGTCCCCAGCCCCAGCTGCCTGGTGGGCCCCATACCCTCCCCACCACCCACACCGCCAGCAGCCCTCAGGCAGCAAAGTTCAGAAACAAGGACACAGCAAGGGCAGAGACCAGGTACAGAGTTGGAATTGGCTCCTTTATGGAAAAACTGAAAATATAATAAAAATTAAAATAAAACCAGTTTTAAAAAAGCCAGCTCCTGGGGTTTCCACCTCCTGCCTCTGGGCCTCCAGAGGGGTGAGGCCCCAACCCCAGGGCAGCAGAAGGATGAGGGCCTCCTGCCCCTCCTTCTCCCCCATTCCATCCCCTTTTTATCTCCACAGTGGGGGCCCCGGGAGGAACCAAACCTGGGTGGGAGGGCAGGGACCCAAGGCCCCGTGGCCCAGGGAAGGGGGCTGGGAGTGCGCCCAGCCCCTCAGCCCTGGCCTGTAGTGTGGGCGTGGGCAGGGCCCCTCCCGGCCTGGGCCCAGCAGGGGTGGGGCCGTTAGTTCCAGATCTTGAGGAAGGAGTCCCAGGAGCCAGTGGCCACAGCCATGCCATCGTCGGTGACCCCAAGGCAGCTCACACGGTTGTCGTGGCCAGCGAGGACCCCTGTGAGGAAGGGAGAAGTCAGAACCCATTTGGCCTAGGCTCCAGGTCCCCACCCGCCCAGCCTGGGCCCCCAGCTCTCACCTGCACGGTCGCCCTTCATGGCATCCCAGATGTTGCAGTTGAAGTCGTCGTAGCCAGCGAGCAGCAGCCGGCCGCTGCGCGAGAAGGCAACAGAGGTGATGCCACAGATGATGTTGTCATGGGAGTACATGAGGAGCTCCTGATCGGCCCGCAGGTCGAAGAGGCGGCACGTGGCGTCATCAGAGCCGGTGGTGAAGGCATAGCCGTTGGGGAAGAACTGCAGGACACGGGACCGGGATGGGGTGAGGGCGAGGGGCAGGGCCAGAAGCCTGGTGGAGAGGGCCTGGCCCAACTCGCCCCAGAACTCACAGCCACCGCATTGATGTCGGATTCGTGGCCGATGAAGGTCTGTCGGCACATGGAATCCCGTACGTCCCACAGCTTGATAGAAGCATCACAGGCGCCTGACACAAACGTGCGGCCATCGGGAGCCAGGGACAGGGACATCACATCCCCACTGTGTCCAGCAAAACCCACTGTCTGCTGGCCTGTCTCAATGTCCCACAGGGCACTGGAGAGGTGACAGGAAGAAGGAAAAGATAAGAGACGGGGCAAAGAACAGAGTCCCTGCCCTCCCCTCCCCACCACGTGAGCCCAACCCTGTGAAAGGGTTCAGGGAGGTTCTTGTCAGAGCCTTAGGTGGGAAAGGGATGCATCCCTCCCTGACCCCCTTAGTGCCCACCAGGAGAGAGAGACTACAGTGCACGCTGCGTGCTGAGCACTGGGACAGTGGCCCCTGAGGCAGGAAGTGTGAGTTCGCCCAGACTGTTCAGCCCTGGCAGAGCCTCACCAGGTGGTATCCCCAGAGCTGGTGATGATTTGGTTGTCATCCAGGAAGCGGCAGCACGACAGGTACCCTGGGGAAGGAGCTGGTCAGCCAGGTCTCCACACGGAGGGCAGTGCACCTCCCGACCCCAAAAAGGGTGCTAGCCGGGCCAGGCCCCTCACCAGTGTGGCCAGGCAGCTCCCGGCTGACCCTGACGTTGCCCTCGCGGGTCTTGAGGCTGTAGATGGAGCAGATGTTGTCCAGCCCCCCACAGGCCACAAAGTTCCCTGAGGGCGCATAGGCACAGGTCATGACCCAGGAGGAGCGCAGCGGGATGGCGTGAACCTGTGGAGCAGAGGCAGCGCCAGGGTCAGAGCCAGTCAGGGCCCTGTGACCCTGCCCCACCCCCCAGCCCGCACCACCCTACCTTGTTGGTGGTGTAGCTGTCCCAGATGATGAGCTTCCCATCCTGGGAGGCGCTGACCAGCAGCCTGGTGGGGAATGGTGCAGGGAGAGCAGAAGGATGCCATGAAAGCAAGACACACCCCCTTCCCATTGGGTAGGAGAAGGTAGGGTCTCTGTTGTCCAGGCTGGAGTGCAGTGGCACCATCACAGCTCACTGCAGCCTGGAATTCCTAGGCTCAAGTGATCCTCCCATCTCAGCTTCCCCCACATAGCTGGGACTACAAGGCGAGCACCACCACACCCGGCTCAGTTTTCAATTTTTAGTAGAGACAGGGTCTCACTATGTTGCCCAGGCTGGTCTCAAAACTCCTGAGCTCAAGTGATCCTGCCCTGGCCTCCCCACATGCTGGGATTACAGGTATGAGCCACCTGAGAGACAGTCTCCAGCTGCAGCCCACAAGTTCTCACCAGCATGGTCCTGCCTGTCCAGGTCTGGCGGGCATGTCTGGGAGTCACCTTATTTCCAGACATACTCTGGGTATTCTGGTGGCCTACTCACCCCACCAGATCGGAGGCTGCTCCCACAGCCTGCTAGAAAGTCGGCCCACAGCGCCAGCCCACACACACACACACCTTGAGTCGGTCCCCCAGTGCATGGCATAGATCTTTGCCAGGTGCCCACGGAGGGTCCTCCGGGTCCTCATCTGGATTCTCCCCACTGGGTCCAGCCCAGCTGTGATCTGGAGGTAGAGACAGAATGGGCTCAGGGAGGCCCAGGTAGCAGGACTGCAGTGAGCAGCGGCCTCCGATCCTTGCCCTCCAACCCCAGTCACCTCCTGACCACCAAGTGCCCTCACCTGGGTCAGTGTTGAGTCCCCACATGCTTTTCGGGCATCCTATAGGGAATGGCAGAGCCAAAGAGATGCAAGAGACGGTAGGATGGGTAGGAGAGGGCGAGAAGACAGGAGTGGACAAAATCAGATTCTGAGCCACTAAGGAGCCCTCCCTCCCCCTTCCCCCACCAACACCCTCACCCAGCCCGGTCCAGGGCACCGGGAGGTGTACACACCTCCCGGCCCATACCGCACCAGGCCCTCACCCGGATCTGGTTCCGGAGCTGCTCGGCCTCCTGTCTCAGTTGCTCCAGCTCACTCATGGCGCCGGGCCCGTGGGGCGGGGTTGGGGGCGGCTGGGGGCCGCGGGACGGGGGCTGGGGGAGGCAGCTCCTGGCCGCTGGCCCGAGGCCTGGGGGATGCAGGGCTGACGTCAGGCCCGAGGCCGCCGGGGAAGTGGGGGGAAAGGCGGGGTTGCAGCACGGCCCGGAAGGGGTAAGCAAGGGGAGGGGGGAGGGGCGGCGGCACAACCAGGGTCTCCGGCAACCGAGACGTCGCCGAGTAAGAGCCGACTTCCCCAATCTTCCTCCCGCCCCCCGGAAACGGAGCGGGAAGTGCAAGAGGAAGCGCAGGGGAAACCCCTCCCTCGGACACAGCCCGGGCGGGACACCCGCGGCAGGAACTGGGGGGGGGGTGTCCCTTCGAAAACAGACCTGGCGTCTGCCCCAGCCCGCACCGGCACCGCCCCCCAAGCACCTAATTTTAAAAGGGGAGGTGCCTCTTGAAATTCACCCCACAAGGCGCACACCCTCCACACACACCCCCAGCTTCGACGGTGGCGGGTGGGGGGGAGCGACCAGAGGGGGAAGCTAGGCTGTTCGTGGGGTTGCCTAGGCAACCGTCACCCGGACCGAGAGCACCTCATTGGTGAAATGCCCCCACCCTAGCCCCGTTGCCAAGGCAACCGCATCCACGGCTGAGACCTGTAGGGTGGGTGACCCCACCCCCGGCCCCATCGCCCCCGCCCGACCCAGGCTCCCGCCCCTCCCCAGAACCGGCCCGGGTGGCTGTTTACAGGATTTGGGAAAAGCCGATTGGGAGCTAATAGGTTCTGGACAGCTCACCCCGGATAATCCCTGCTCCGGCTGCGCCCCATTAGCCGTCCGCCGCGGGTGGGGGTGACAACGGCGGGGAAGGCAGCCCCGAGCCGCTGCTCCCTCCAGCGCAGAGACCGCCCGCCCCGCCGCGCCCGCAGAAAGCCCGTGGGAGCCGCTCTCGAGTAATTACGGCTCCGCAACGAGGTCCCCGGCCCCGAGGCGCGGAGCTGCTCTCTCCCAGGCGCGGGCGGGAGGCCCCAGGCGGCCTGGCCCCGGCGCCCTGGACACCTGGGGGGCCCAGCCAGCGGGCTCGCGCCCGGGCCCCAGAGGCTTGGCTGGCTCCGCTCCGGGCGCCTGAGTCCTTCCCCACCCGCGGGACACCTGTGCGATCCGGCCGTACACACTGCACTCGGCCGACCCAGGCGTCCCCCACCCAGCTCCCACTTCCCCCAGGCACAGGGCGTTCCTATTCCCCACTGACATTTCCCCTCCTTGTAAGTTCAGCTTTCTACGCCAGTGCCAGGGGGTGACCCTCAAAATCGGGGTGTGGGGGGCGCAGGCAGAACTCCTTACTTCACCCAACCCCCAGGCCCGCACAAAGCCTCTTCCAGCTACTAGCAGCCCAGGCCTGGCGGCACCACCGGAGGCCCAGGGCAGAAGGAAGCAGGGCTGGAGAAAGAAACTGGGGGCGGGGGCGACGCTCTCAGCCCTCGGTCCCCATCACCCCGCAGGGCCCTCAGCAGCCCCCAGATTCCAGGGATATAGCAGCCAGGGTCCCATAGAGAAATGGGGGTGCCACCGCCTCCGCAGGTCTGGCGGGGCCCAGGAGAGGTGACGGGAGGGTCCCTGGATCTCGCAGCTGGAAGGCGCGGGCTGGTGCGGCGCTGCGAAGCGCAGTGGGCCTGGCCCTCCAGCCCCCACGACCTCCATTTTGCCCAAAAGAAAGCTGGGCGGGGGGCGGGTGCCTGGGAGCTGGGCTTCGGGTGGGGATCTGTAAAGGGAATAGG